AAGTTGGATCTATCAGGTGTAGAGCATAAATGTCTTAATCCTGTAATAGGGTAAAAGTGGTAAAGGCTATGTTGTTTAATAGGATGTAAACATTCCAATTTGTACAAATAATCATCACATTGAATCCTATAATGGCATAAATGTATTTATGATCTATGTACGAAAGACTTAATAAAAAAAAGGCATGAGATAATTTCTGAAATGCAAAGTGCCTGGAGATGGCTGGAGGTAATGGTTCTACAATATACATATACTTAATGCCATTGAACTGTACACTTGAAAATAGCTAAGACATTGGGAGGCTGAGGCAAGTGGATCACTTGAGCTCAGGAGTTCGAGACCAGCCTGAGCAAGATCTAGACCCTGTCTCTAAAAAACAGCCAGGTGGGCAGCGCCTGTGGCTCAAAGGAATAAGGTGCTGGCTCCGTATACTGGAGGTGGTGGGTTCAAACCCAGCCTCGGCCAAAAAAATAATAAGAAGAATAGCCAGGTGTTGTGGCAGGCACCTGTAGTCCCAGTTACTCTGGAGGCTGAGGCAAGAAGATGGCTTAAGCCCAAGATTTTGAGTTGCTGTGAGCTGTGATGCCACAGCACTCTACCGAGGGTGACACAGTGAAACTCTGTCTCAGCAAAAATAAAAGAAAATAGCTAAGGTAGTAAATTGCATCTTATGTGTATTTTACCGCCATAAAATGAAGTTGAAAGGAAAAGGAGGAAAAAAACCAATGAAAACAATAATGGCTGGTTTATAATAAAGTCTCTCCCACTAGCCTGAAAGGATGAGTCATATTTCCTGAATCAATGAGCAGAATTTACAATAATTATTTTCTCTAAATTCATTTTTTCAATTGTTTACTGCCAAACTCTCCAAATGAAGCTGTCTTGAGTTTCAAAACAAACAAAATTATGTGCTTGTCTGAAGTACCAGGGCTGAACTGGAGAAGTAATTTCAGAAAACTGAGACCAGCCAAAGACATTAGAAAAGCTGAGTCTGGGCCGTGCACAGTGGCTCACGCCTGTAATCCTAGGACTCTGGGAGGCCATGGCGGGTGGATTGCTTGAGCTCATGAGCTAGAGACCAGCCCGAGCAAGAGTGAGACCCCATCTCTACTAAAAATAGAATAAAACAAGCCAGGTGTGGTCCCACACACCTGTAGTCCCAGCTACTCTGGAGGCTGAGACAGGAGGATTACTTGAGCCCTGGTGCTATGAGTGATGACTCTAGGGTACTGTACCAAGGGTGATGGAGTGAGACTCTGACTCAAATAAATAAATAAATAATAAGGGGGTCTGGAACCAGGTTTCCTGCCTCCCTTGTCTCTGTCCTTTGCACGACCTGAATCCTTCCAAACCTTTGCCACAGTGCCTCTCTCCCCGCAGCCCTCCTCCCTTAGTGCAGGACATCATTTGTTACCCAAGTCCCTTTGGTGGGCTTTTTACATGCAAAAGCCTTTTCTTGCTTTTTAGAACATTTCCAACAATAGCCTTGGCTTGGAGGGGGCCAGAATCATCTCCGAGTTCCTCCAGAGAGATGCCTCTTCCATCTGGAACCTTGAGCTTTCAGGTGAGCCCATGGATGGGGACAATGAGGGACAAGAGGGGAACAATAGAGAGGGACAGGGCCCAGGTGAACCAGACCTTCTTCCCCTCCATGGCCACACTGGCTTCCTGCTTCCCATGACAAGCCACTTCTGATCCGTTCTGCAGCGCCTTCCCTCTCCTGGAGAGTCTCTGCCCTCAGATATCTGTGTGGGCCTCAGGGCATCTTCCTCTCTCCCTTCATTCATGCGCTGCTCAAACACTGTCTTCTTGGAGGGACTTCCCTGAACACCCTATGGAAAACCCCATCCCTCTAGCCTGCCTCCTCACTTGGTTTTTCTGAGTACCGGGTATCACCACCGGATTGATCCCCTGTCGGAGGTCTTAATCTGTCTTTAACAGGAAACAAAGTCACTTGAGTCACCCTCACTCAAGGTTGTACTTTGAATTTATTCTGTCTGCAGGGTCCTAGGCCCCCCCCAAGCCAAGAAATTAACATGGAAAGCTGTCCTATATGATCAGAATGGGACCCCTTTGGAAGAGTAAACCCTCGACCCAGGCTGCTTGGGAGTCCCCTAGATGAAGCCATCCCACTCAGGATGGATTCAAGGCCCCAAACTGTGACACAAATAAGGCAGCAAAATACCCCGAGAGGTGTCAAACTCAGTAAGTGGTAGGACTATGTAATTTATCACCCAAAGTGGGTAGGGATGCTCTTTATTAATAATTAACTGGAACTACAAGCAAACTGAGATATCTCACACCCAACCGTAAAGTGCATTCAGTACTTAATAAAAACATAAAGGAACAAATAGCTATATTTTTAAAACTATAATTTCTAGAAATGAAAAAATAAAGTTGGCTCGGCGCCTGTGGCTCAAGTGGCTAAGGCGCCAGCTACATACACCTAAGGTGGTGGGTTCGAATCCAGCCCAGGCCTGCCAAACAACAATGATGGCTG